CTCTTTGTGTGTGGCTGAGGTGGGGTGGAGGAGTAAGCTATGGGAAGTAAGTGGGTTGAGGAACTGAATGATTAAAGTCTTTGAGGAAGAGTCACTACATATGTTGAAGTCCCCTAGTATTATGGCAGGAATTGTGGAGAAGAGAATAATTGTGAGCCTGGAATCAAACTCATTGAGGAAGAAAGGGGAGTAATTTAGAGAAAACAGCTACCGGATTTTGATTGGATGATAGATAAGAATTTCAGGAGAACTAGGTGGCACAGAACCTTAGGTCAGGAAGATGAGTCTTCCTGAATTCAAATCTGGCTGTAGACACTTACTAGCTGGGTGACCCTGGGCAAATCACTTAACCTTGTTTGCCTCAATTTCCTCATCTATAAAATGAACTGGAGAAAGAAATAGCAAACTATTCTAGTATCTTTGAAAAGAAAACCCCAAATCAGGTCACGAAGATGGACGTGACTGAACCACTGAACAACAACAGTAACAGATGTGAATTTCATAAATGTAAAAGGAGAAATTACAGAGTGGGGAGCCTGGAAATGGCATTGGGGAGCAAAGAGTATTCCAACTCCCTTTCCTTGACCAGTGAGCGCAGGGGAATGAGTGAAAGGTGCAGCAGGTACTGGAAAGAGTGGCCAGGGATTCTGTGTCACCAGGAAGAAGCCAGGTTTCAGTGATCACTAAATGATGGAAGGAGTGGGAGAGGAAAAGATTTAGGATGAAGCAAAGTTCATTGCCTATGGAACAGGCATTCCAGATATATCTAGGTCAGGTATCTTTTTTGGAGTTTCTTGTACCATATGGTGTGAGATGTTGGACTAAACCTAATTTCTCCTAGACTGCTCTCCAAATTTCCCAGCTGTTTTTGTGAAGTAGTTAGAGATCTTGGATTTATTTAATACTGTGCTGTTCTATTCAATTGCTTCTGGGTCTAGTGTCCCTGATGTTTTTCACTGATCAACATTTCTATTTTTTAACCAGTACCAAAAGTTTATGATGATTATTGCTTTTTAGTATAGTTTGAAATCTTGGACTGCTAGGTCTCCTTTCCCATTTTTTTCATTATTTTCCTTGAGATTTTTGAACTTTTGCTTCCAGTTTAATTTTGTTATTATTTTTTCTGATTCAACAAAGGAACTCCCTGGTAGTTTGATTGGTATGGAACTGAATATGTGTTAATTTAGATAGTGTTTTCATTTTTATTATATCAGCTAGCCCAACCATGAGCAATTAAATGGTAATTATTTAAATTTGTATTTCTATAATGAGTGTTTTGTAGTTGAATAGCTTGTGTAATTCCTGAGTATGAATTGCTAGCTGGACTCCCAGATATTTTGTGCATTCTATAATGGAATAAATGGAATTTATTTCTTGATCTCTTCCTAAAGGGCTTTGTTGGTAATATACAAGAAAGCTGATAATCACTGCAAAAATATCCAAAAAAGTATTAGCAAAGAGGCTACAACTATTGTGAGATTGTATTTTCTTTTGTTTTTGTGTTTTGGTCATGTTTGATATTGGCATTTTGGCCTTGCCTCCTTCTTTAAAAATTAGATTAGCTAATGGTTTATCTATTTTATTAGGTTTTTTCCTTAAAAAAAACAGTTCCAGGTTTTATTTATAAATTCAGTGCTTTTTTGTTTCAAATTTTGTTTATCTATTCCTTGATTTCAAAGAATTTTTATATTTGGGTTTTTTGATTTGTTGCTTTTCTAATTATCTTAATTAATGACCAATTCATTGATTCATTTTTTCTCTCTTCTGTTGAAAGTGTTAACTGATACAGAATTTCCCCTAAGGACTACTCTGGCTGAAATATGAAAGTTTTGTTTTGGTTTTTTTGCTAGGCAATTAGGGTTACGTGACTTGCCTAGGGTCACACAGTTAGTATATGTTGTGTGTTGTGTGTCTGAGATTGAATTTGAACTCAGATCCTCCTGATTTCAAGGCTGGAGCTCTATCCACTGCGCCACCTAGCTGCCCAATGCAAAAGTTTTGATATATTGTCTTACTGTTGTTTTCCTTGAGGAAATTAGCTATTTTTGTATGATTTATTTTTTGATTCACCAATTTTTTAGTATTAAATTATTTTGTCTCCCTTTAAGTTTGAAGCCTTTTTTCAAATGCTTTTACTAAGATACTTTTTTTTTTGCCATTGTGGTAAAGGATGGGTTTAATAGTTTCCCTTTATACTGTTTATGAGGGTGTTTTGCCTGGGCACGTGATCAATTTTTGTAAAAGTGTCATGCACACCTGAGAAACATGTATATGTCTTTCTGTTCTTATTCAGTAATCACCTGTGATCCATACTCACTTTTAAACAATTCTATACAGTCCCTTAACATATTTCTAATTTATATATTCTTTTTAGATTTGTCTTGGTCTGAAAGGGGAGCATTAAGTTCCCTAACTACTATGGTTTTGCTGTTTATTTCTCCTTAAATTTTTTTTTAAATTTCAAGTACTTAGATGCTATTCGATTTATTGCATTTACATTAAACATTTATATAATTTCATTATTTATGATACCTTTTAGCATAATGTAGTTATCTCTTTTAATCATATCTTTAATTTTACCTTGTTTAAAATCATGATTCTTATCTCTTGTTTTTTAAAATATCACCTAGTGCATAAATTTTGCTCTAGGCCCTCAGTTTAACTCCATGTGAATCCTTATGTTTCAAATGTATTTCTCGCAACGAACATATTGTTGGGTTTTATTTTCTAATTCATTTGCTACTACCATCCATTTTGTGGATAAATTTATCCCGTTTAGCAACATTATTACAATTGCAAATTGCCGTTTTCTTTTACCGTATATCATATATTTATTTATACAAGATTTATCTTGTATCTTTTCTGCATTTGCTCTTGACCCTCCTCTTAGAAGAAGAAGAAGAGGGGGAAAGAGAATTTACTTGATTGTGTGTGTATATGCGCACGCTTGTGCGTGTGTGTGTGTGAGGGTCACTAGATGCCTTCTCTTCTCATTTTACCCTTATTATTTATATACTTTTCTAATGAACTCATTTTATATGCTTTTAAAAATCCTTTTCAGATATTTTCTGGAGTTTAGGGCAGTGGGGCTTTTCTGTGACCTTTCATGCTGCTATTTTAACCAGAAGTCAATTGTTTTTTTAATCGAAGACTGTCATACTCAAAACCCCACATTTATATTTTATCACATGGGGCACTCAGTCAGATTGGAGTCACATATGCTTTTGCGGGGAGGGAGGAAGTGGTTTGGATGCTGGCCTCTTTGGAGTCCCGGTCTAAAATGTCCAGCTTTATCTCTGGGAAGGCTCTTTAGAACCAGCTGGTATTTTTCCCTTTCTCTGGTCTCAGGCCCTTTCCCTACCCCCTGCAGAGGGACATTTTCCATTAACCCATCACTGACCTTGAAGGAACTTTTGACTTCAAAACATTAAATCCCTGGAGGAGGCCTAGGGCAGCCCTGGAGAGTTCAGTTGTGGTTTGTGGGATGACACAACAGAAGGAATGAGAGAAAAGAATAGATTGAGAGGGCAAAGCACAGCCAGGACAAGGTCTGGCTACTGAGGTCCCTCCCTTAAGTAGTCTGCTCAGTCCTATCCAATGAATACTGTTTGGGGATTGAAGAAAAGGATGCTAGAGCTGTAGCGATCAACACCCTGACTTCCCTACTGGTGCCAAAGTCTCACAGGAGGGGTGATCACACATCCTGGAATACCAGAGCTGAAAGAGGCCTAGAGGTCATCTAGTATAAACCATGGCCCCTCCCTCCCCACCTCCCCAGTTCATTAAAAAAAATAACTTTTTTAAACTGGTCAATTTTTTGAACTAATTAGTTCATCAATTACCTTCCTATATATTACTCTACTTTTAAGAAACAAAAATATTTAAGCAAAACTGACAAAGCAACCACATTTCATTGTATAAGCAACATTCTCCACCTCGTTGGGAATAGGTGTTTTGTCCTCTCTTCTCTAGGACCAAGATTGTTCATGGCAATTGATCTGAGTCCAGTTTCCTATTTAGTTGTTTTCATTTATTTCATTGAAGTCATTGTGTATATTGTTTTCTTCTTTCAGTGTCATTTCATACAAGTTTTCTCATGCTTTTCTGAATTCTTCATGTTCATTTTTGGGGGGGGGGCCTAGGCAATGCGGTTAAGTGACTTGCCCAGGGTCACACAGCTAGTAAGTGTCAAGTGTTTGGTCTGAGGCCAGGTTTGAACTCAGGTCCTCCTGACTTTAGGGCCAGTGCTCTATCCACTGCGCCGCCTTGCTGCCCCTTCATGTTCATTTCTTATGGGGCAATAATGTTCCATTTTATGGAGAGAACACAGCTTGTTCAAACCCTTTCATCTTACAGAGAAGGAGGATAAATGACTTTCCCAAAGTCATGCTGTCTTGTATTTGGCACAACCACTATTTTAACCCAGGCCTTCTTACTCTCAATCTAACTCTCTTTCCATGACAACATCCTGAGATTTGGAGTTGGGGAGTATGTCCTGATGAAAGTTTTTGAATATGTCTCTTGACAATGTGTAAGATGAATAAGAGAAGGGGAAAGGAGAGAGAGACAGAGAGAGACACAGACAGAGACAAAGAATGAGAGACAGAGACAGACAGAGAAAGAAAGACAGAGACAAAGAATGAGAGACAGAGAGAGATAGAGACAAAGAATGAGAAAGACAGAGACAAAGACAGATAGAGGCAGACAGACAGAGACAGAGACAAAGAATGAGACAGAGACAGAGACAAAGAATGAGACAGAGAGAGACAGAGGCAGAGAGACAGAGACAAAGAATGAGAGAGAGAGAGAGAGAGAGAAAGAGAGAGGGAGGAGAGAGGGAGGGAGGGAGAAGGAGGCTGGGGTCAACTAAGAGGTTATTTTACAGACTAAAGTCACAGAATGATATCAGCGGGGATGTGTGCAGTCATAGAACGATGTCAGTGGGGATCAATGAACAGAAGAGACATTTTTAATGCCTTATTACCTGCCTTCTTTTCCAGAGCCCAGTGTCTTCCTGATCTTCACTCAGGGGCTACAAGGCTGTCTGGAGGCCCAAGAGGGACAGGTTAAGGTCACACCAGTCTGCAATACCAGCCTACCTGCCCAGCAGTGGAAGTGGGTCTCCCGCAACCGGCTCTTCAACCTGGGCACCATGCAGTGTCTGGGCCTGGGCACTGCCTGGCCTGGTGCCAATGCAACCACAGCTCCATCCCTGGGCACCTACGAGTGTGACCGAGAGGCCCTGAGCCTGCGCTGGTACTGCCAGACACTGGGGGACCAGCTGTCTCTGTATCTGGGCGGCCAGACAGGGAACACCTCAAAGACTGTCCTCTCTGATCGAGGAGACCAGACAAGGGGCAGCCAATGGCGAATCTATGGGAGTGATGAGGATCTGTGCTCTGTACCCTACTACGGTGAGGGGGCCAGGGAAGGATAGCACTTCCCAAAGAGAGAGTGGGGAGAGGTGAGAGTAGGGCCCAGGGCAGGAGCTGGCCGAAAGGGAGCCCTCTGAGTGAGGATTCTTCTCTTGCTGCTGTGGGCTCTGGGGAGAGTCCCTTCTGTCCCCTACCGTTTCATTTTTCTAACAAAATTTTCCCTTCGTAGCACTTGACAAGTATTTCCCAAGTAATAATAGTTCACATTTATATAGCACTCTAAGGCTGGCAAAGCTTTTTTCATGTTATCTCATTTGATCCTGACAACAATCCTGTGTTATTAAATCGTTTCAGTCATGTCTGACCCTAATTGGGGTTTTCTTGGCAAAGATACTGCAGTGGTTTGCCATTTCCTTCTCCAACTCATTTTACAGATGAGGAAACTGAGGCAAACAGGATCCAGGGTCACACAGCTAGTAAATGTCAGAGGACAGATTTGAACTCAGGTATTCCTGACTGTAGGTCTGGTGCTTTATCTACTGTGCTGCTACCATAGGTACTATTGTTATTCACATTTTTCAGTTGAGGGAATCAAGGCTTAGAGAGGTTAAGCAATTAGCTCCCAGTCACACAGATGGTATCTTGAGTTGGGAACTAATCCCAATTGGAGCATTCTTTCCGCTATATTATACTGCTTTCCCAAAATGTTTTTTTATATCCATCTGATTTTATTCTTTCCTATGAGGTTAAAAAAAGCAAGTTTCATTTCCACTTTACAGATGAATAAATGGAGGCCCAGAATTGTTAGGTAACACACTGAGTTAGTGGCAGAGCTGAATCTGGGTCTCCTGAGCACCGGAACTCTCCCCACTAGGCAATCCTGCTCACTCCTTTCTTGGAAGACCATGTGGGTTCTGAAATAGGTGCCCTGGTTGGCAAACTTAGGGGAAGAGTATGGAAGAGAAAATGGGCCCCTTGGGCAGCAAGGCTAGAAAGGAGTTACCTTTCAGCTGTCTCTCATCTTGACCCTTCCTCATATCCACACCTGGCCATCTGTGTCTATATATGTAGGAAGGGAGCCTCTGTACACATTAGCTAGGTAGGAGTTGCTCTGGTCCTGGAGGGAACTGGGTGGTGAGAATTCTTTGTCTCTGAAGGTCCCTAGGCTAGATCCATGGGATGAGCCGGAAGGAGGAGGGTGGGTTAGGCCTTACGAATTCAGAGACCTCTAGCTTTTCATAGCCACAAGGAGAGGTACAGGAGGGTAAATCTGGAAGCTCTTTGGGGAAAACAGGGTCAGATCCTGTTTTCTTCCCTGACTCTGCTAGAGCTCCAAGGATGTGGAAGAAGGGGAGAAAAGACAGGTAAAAGCAGATCTTTCTTCTCTCTCCCCCACACTTCTTTCCCATCATCCCTTTGCTATCCAGAGTTCCTACTTGTGATGTGGTAGAGAATTGGGGGCAATGGGTTGGTCACTGACGCCCCCACTCCACTTGACTGTAGTGTAGGAGCCTAGGAAATGATTTTGGTGCCCTAATAATGAGCGCTTTGGCCCCTTTCCCCTCCCCCTCCCCCTACAGAGATCTACACAATACAAGGAAACTCCCATGGGAAGCCCTGCACCATCCCCTTTAAATATGACAATCAGTGGTTCCATGGGTGCACCAGTACTGGCAGAGAAGATGGGCACCTCTGGTGCGCCACCACCCAGGATTACGGCAAGGATGAGCGCTGGGGCTTCTGCCCCATTAAGAGTGAGTGTTGCCTCTGCCATCCCCACCCCTATCCCCAGGGTAAGGCACAAGGAAGTGGGGAAGGGCGATAGAGGGTAGGAAAAGGACCGAGGGCAGTGATTGATAAACTTGAAAATGAGGACTGGAAAGGTTAGAAGGGATCTGGGAGTATGTTGCGGAGACGGGGGGGTGCAGAAAAAAGTTTGAGGATCTAAGAAACCAGTAATGGAGAAAGATTTGCCCTGGTGGAATTTTAGGGCCCTGTATGAGATGTAGCTCTATCTTGTTAGTTTCCATCCCCGCCATCTATCTGGGTAGTGCCTCTTGACTTTGGAGATGGAATACGACAGGGATTCTTAATTTTTTTTTTTGACCATGGACCCCTTTGACGATCTGGTAAAGCTTGTGGCCTCGAAGAGGACCATGACATCAGGAAGATGATGCCATGAACTCACTCAAAGTGAGAACTTGGAAGACCTTAGCTTAAAAAGGCCAAGACCTCCCACTGCATGCTGGGCCATCTCCAGTTGTCTTGATGTATATTTAGCCACTAGACCCAGATGGCTCCGGAGGAGGAGAAAGTGAGGCTGGTGACTTTGCACAGCCCTCCCTCACTTAAATCCAATTTAATTGCAAGTCATGGCATCATCTTCCTGATGTCTTGGTCCTCTTAGAGAATGAAGGAAAAACTACAAAGCCTATGGAGCCTTTTCAGAGTAATATTTTTAAAGGTGTAAAGTAAAATACACAGGCTTACAAAGTGTTATATTGAGTGACATATGGTCATCAATATTTATCAACTTGAAAAAAATGTTCAGAACTTCTGGAATAGGAGGTTGAGGGTTAGTACATAGCTCCATGGGTACTCACAGCCGTGGTCACTTGTGGGGTCGGTCATTAGGCTGTGTCTTCTCAGAGCTCCCTCTACTCCCTCCCTCCCCACTGCTACTCCAGGTAACGACTGTGAGACTTTTTGGGATAAGGACCAGCTGACAAACAGCTGCTACCAGTTTAACTTCCAGTCTACGCTGTCCTGGAGGGAGGCCTGGGCCAGCTGTGAGCAGCAGGGAGCCGACCTGCTGAGCATCACTGAGATCCATGAGCAAACGTACATCAATGGTGAGTGAGGCCAGGAGGGGCAAGCCTGGTGTTTCCAAACTAGTGAACCCGGCTCTTCATAGGTTCTCCCCTTTCCTGCAAACACCCTAGCACTGCACATGGGGTTCAACAGCAAGCAGGGATATCCAGGAGGAGTTTTGATGGGCAAGAACTAAGGTGTAGTGGGGAGAAGTGCATTTGGGGTCTTTGGAGGGCTCCAGACAAGGGTGCGCTGGTAAATGTTACCTACCAGCTCTCCATGCAGAAAAAATATCCCCCCATATACTTTTAAGTTTAATCTTCATTATTAACATTTTCTCCATCACCTTCTTAAGTCAATTATTAATCAAACAAAGCCTAAATCAAGGCCTGATTTGTAGCATCTGCATATTTCTGGGGTGTTAAGGCTCATGCAGAAAATTTGGATGGCTACAGCATACTCCTGATACCGGAGAACGGCTCTCCTTTGTGTATGTGTAGGAGGATAAGAGAACCTCTGGGCTGTTGAAGGCAGATTGGTAGAGGAGAGAAGGGTGAGGTCCTCAGAGCCAGGGCTACTGTCATCTATTTATTTTAAATATATATTTTTAATTACACACTTCATGCATCAGTGGGCTGGATTTCAATGGTGTGTTAACTCCCTCTACCAATTGTAGATTGTAACCTGTCTATAATAATCGTAACAGGGGGACTGTACCTATAATTTCATTGGCATAGGGCAGTGGTTCTCACGGCATTGTCTGGGGATTGCTGGAAGTCCCCAAGATACTTTTCATAATAATATTAAGTTGTTCTAACTTCTAATATGGTAAAAATCAGTAGATATAACCTATATAAACAGAGGATATTTGGGGTCTTCAGTAAATTTAAGAGTATAAAGTGATCCTCAAAAAATTTTTTTAAAGTGTAAAGGGATCTTGAGACTAAAAAAATTTGAAAACTGCCAGTATAGTATGGGACATCTAGGTGGTGCAGTGGATAGAGTACCAGACCTGGCATCAGGAAGACCTGAGTTCAAATCTGTCCTCTGACACTTACTAGCTGTGTGACACTGGGCAAGTCATTTAATCCTGTTTGCCTCAGTTTCCTCATCTGTAAAATGAACTAGAGAAAGAAATGGCAAACCATACCAGCATCTTTGCCAAGAAAAACCCAAATGGGGTCATGAACAATCAGATATGACTGAACAACAACAATAAGTATAGGGAATTTCCACCTTCTGGTGTAGGTTGGTACCTTGTCTTCAGCTTATGTAGTTTTAGAGGGTTGCCTAGAACTCTGAGAGAGGTTAACTTGCCCAGTGTCCCACAGCTATGTCAGAGACAGGACTTGAACCCAGCTCTCTATCCATTGCTCTATGTCTCTCTAATAATTATGGTAGCCAGCATTTACATAGTGTTTTCAGGTTTGCCAAGTGCTTTACCTCCATTATCTCATTTGATCTGTGAGGAAGGTATTTTAGCGTAATGGAGAAGTTGTAGGGAATTGTTTGAGCTGAGAGGTTGGCTGAGGTGCCCGAAGTCCAGTAAGTGTCAGAGGTGACACTGGATCTCAGGCTTTCCTGATTCTAAGACCAGCACGCTGGCACACAGCTTCACTCACTTTACTGACGATCCACATAAAAAGAAACAATGAAATAAGCAGAAGAAACAAGAAAATCAGAAAAATATAGCCTCAAATTCTAAGCTGTCTTGCAGTTTGCCAAAAGAAATGTGCCAATATGCTGGCAAGCTTCAGCAATAATGTGCAGTGCAGGTAATAGTAGCAACAGTATGGAGAGGAAGCTGGACATAGTGGATAGGGTTGGCTGTGTGACCCTGGGTAAGTCACTTGATCTCTCAGTCCTCCCCAACAATTCTCTAAGAGTCTAAATTGAAGAACTGACACAGAATGATGCCTATGGGCATTGGTAGGAGGAGCTGCCCACATCAATGACCTCACAGGCCTGGACCAACCCCAAATGACCAGAAATACTAATAATAATGATAATAAATAATAACTACATCCATGATGCTGCTGATGATAATGGTGGTAATGTGGTTGGGATTCCTTTTGGAGTTTTCTTCCATTTGTGAACTTGGATTTTCTTTTTGGCTGTTTCCTTCCTAGAAGGATAATCTTTTCCCTGTTTCTGTATAGCCTTTGCATTTGGGACTTGTACATAGTAGGAACTTTTGTTGACATTAATTCCTGTTTCTTTTCCCCTACCCCCTTTCTTTCTCTCTTCCCACTTCCTTCTCCTTTCTTTTGCCTTGTGCCCAGGGCTGCTCACTGGCTATAGCTCTACCCTCTGGATTGGACTCAATGACCTGGACACCAATGGTGGCTGGCAGTGGTCTGACAACTCTCCCCTTAAGTATCTCAACTGGGAAAGCGGTAAGACTTCAGGCCTCCATATCCATCAGGCATGTAGGGCCCCCTGAATGCCAGAGAAAGTACCATTTCCTCCTTTCTTGTAAGGGGAGAACACTCTACTCTCTCTTTCATAAAGGCAATGACCTAAGGATAGAGAGGTATGGATGGGCAGCTAGGAGGTGTGGTGGATAGAGAGCTGGACCAGCAGTCAGGAAGAGCTAAGTTCAAATGTCACTTCAGACACTTTTTAACTGTGTCATCTGGGGATAAGTCACTTAATCTCTATCTGCCTTGGTTTCCTCATCTGTAAAACAGGAATACTAATAGCACCTGCTACACCAGGGTTATTGTGAAGATAAAATGAGGTAATATTTGCAAACCTTAAATCATTATATTAATACTAGCTATAATTGGGGCTGTCAAAGGAGAGGAAGTGAAACCCATGGTCTGGCCCTGTTGTCAGAGAAGAAGAAATACGGCAGGAGGACACGTCTTCTTCCCCCTCTGCCTTTCCCATCTTTTGCCCTTGCACCCCAAAGTCCTTCCACTGCGGTTTAAGTCAGTGCTTCTTAAACTGTGGGTCATGACCCCATATGGAGTCGAGAAAAGTTTGGCAACATTAAAAGGTTTCTGAATGTGCAACGACCAAGAATGAACTAAAAATCAAATGCTTAATGAGTCTGAGGTGTTTCTGGCAGTGCTTGTCCGTGTTGCATCTGGCAACTTCACTGTAGCCTGCGTCCTGAACACACTGCACTGCTCATGCCCTCAACAATGAACTTGGCTGAAATGCGGAAAGGGGTTGTGAGTGGAAAAAGTTTAAGAAGCCCTAGTTTAAGCCAGCTCTCCTGAATCTCAGCTCAGAGCTTTACCCGCTAGGTAACTTGTCGCCTGACTCCTTTCCTTGGCACTTATATGGGTAGCTGATTTTCAGAGAGAATGGGCTTTTGGAAGGGTTTGCCCTACAGACATCTCCCTGCCTGGTCCTTCTCTTTTTACTCACCTGCTAGCCTGTGATGTTCTGGGGTGGGGAGATTCTGGTGAAGAGCCATAGCAATGCCAAATAAGACACTGACCCATTTCTTCCCCTGTTGTTGTTCTAACAATTAATATCTGGGCCTTGTTTGCTGGTGGCCAAGTCTCTAGGCTGTCCCATCAAGCCTTCTTTAATCTCCTAAAAGAAGCCCAGTGGCTCACTCTTTCTAACCCATGTGTCTTTCCTCCATGGTCTGATTGATGGGATCACAGATTTAGAACAGGGAGGGACCTGAGAGGTCATTGAGCCTAATTCCAAATGAATTTTGAGAAGACAACAATTTAACAACTCATTTATATAGCCTTTTAAGGTCATGGGATTATGGGGCTAGAGCTGTTTAGGACCTTAGAGGTCATCCAATCCAAAACCCTTATTTTAAAGAAAAGGAAACTGAGTCCATGAGAAATGACTCGTCTAAGGTCATGCAGGTAGTGTCAGAGACAGGGCTTGAATTTAGGTCTTTTAAATCCAAAGCTTCTTGACATGGGGGTCACTACATCCTTAGGCCTGCTAATGCCTTTAGTCCCAGCCTCCAACGTGGGACAACCTTGTGTCACCAGCCTGGAGGAGGAATTGGCAGGGGGAGCAATGTGTATTCTGTAGGGTTGGTTTAGGGAATAAGAAGATGCCCTAAAAAGGCACTGAATCTAGTAGCTGTACTCTTCAGGACTCACGAGCAGGTGGGCCTAAGTTGGTTTGGGGGGAACTATCACTCTCCCTTCTATTCCTTAACTTAAAGATATGGAGTCTGATGATGATGGGGTTGGCAGGGAGGTGAGTGAGAAGGGGAGGCTCTCATGGATTTAGAGTGAAAGGTATGAGCTCTTCCCTTCCTGGGGGAATTTCTCTCCCCCTCTCTCTCTTCTTCCTTCTCCTTCCTCTCTCCCTCCCTTCCATCCCCTC